TGTCGTCGTTGTTCTTCAGTAAGATCTGAAAAACTTCTTCGTTCACGTAAATATTCCCATAACCATTCATTATTATTATTATTATCATCTATAGTTTTTTTTGTTGATTTAGAATCATCAGATTTATTTAATATATTATTTTGTTGATTAATTTCTTTTTCAGATAATACTTTCAATGAGAAATTTGATAGAAAATATCGAGAATTATTTAATATGAAATGATTTTGATATTTTAAAATTATTGATGTAAAAATACGTGATAATAACATTTTTCAAAAACGTATTTTGTATAAAGTACTATAGTAAGATCTATAATTTACCATGAAATGATTATTTTCTATCGTATAGAATTCAATGTAAACAGAGGTCGCACATTTCCATCTTAGTTAATGAAACATTCTTTTCATTAAAACTCTTTTTTAGGAATGTTCAATATAAATATCTATCATTGAATATACAATAAGAGATAAGAATGTTTGTTACATCATGATTACTTTTTTTTTTATAAGTTAATTAAATACTCTTGGAGAAAAATACAATTCTATTATATTATCACCTCAGGGTGCTCACAGTTGGTACTTAGCAGCTTACAATTAAACAGGATGTATATAGACTTGATTATAAATCATTTGAATTACTTTTTTATTTTTTTAAAATAAACAAAATGCAATATTTTTATTTGTCAGTTAATGTACATTGAAATTCATTGATTATTACCATGAAAAATAAAAAAAAACTTGTCATGATTATTATCTTTTTTTTTTTTTTTTTAAACTAAATACAATGATATTCGAACATTTTTTTTGTTTTGTCTGTTTTGTACAATAATTCTTTTCTTCCAATTTAACAGAAACAGAAAGAAAAACAATTGAATCAATATTTTTCTATCTGATCAGAAACAAGACAAGATAACATCTTTGCATGCACATTTGTTCATTTATCAATAGCAGATGAACATGTGTTGAATGAGGATAGACAAATAGATAAATGGCATGGTTCATTTATAATTGAACTAAAAGAAGAACCATCTTTATTCTTTTTATTATTGAAAGTTCATCATGCCCTTTTCATACGTCAAACAAATTGATTGTTGAATTATATCAATATATCTTTTTCGTTTACGTTAATATCAAGATAATACCAAATGATTTTATATATATATATCTATATATAATAGTATGAAGTAATCCGACAGTTAAGATCAGCAAGCAGGCTGTGATATGATTTCAAGTTTATTTCAACATTTCACAGACTGTTTACTGATAGAAACTGCCTTTATTTGTTATGATCACAATAATATGAAGATAATATGTTGACAAAAAAAAAAAAAAACAACAACCATTATATGTACTATAATAAATTAGAAAATAAATTAATGATACATATATATATATATATATTGATGAAAGAATATATTCTTATAAATTATTTTTCTTTTACCTTGATAAAGATATGATGCATGTTCGCTTCATGTCAACAAAGCAAGACTGTGATATGATTTCGATTTTCACATAGCACGATCTCTTTGCTGACACAAATTGTAGATGATTAAGAAAGGAAAAAAAGAAAGAAGTATTATAAAGCTTGTAGATTCCACAGTGTTTACGGTGGATGTAGCGAATATAGCAATAAACAAGAGAGAATAAAAAGGCTTTTTTTTCTCTAATCATCTTCACTTTTCATGTGTTAATGATTGATGTCGAATGACAAACACATTCGCTTGGGCGCTTTTTTTTTTGCTATACTCATCTTCTTTTCTTTTCTTTTTCTACTATCTAAAAAAAAAAAAAAAAAGGAAGAGACAACTTGGAATACTCTCCTTTGCTAATAATGATTTGTTCACTGTGAAAAATCGATTGTTATTTCTGTTCTATACCTTCCATTTGCTTTTAAGAGAGAATCTTCCGTTTTTTTTTCTTTATGTGCCTCATTTTTTCTTTCTTCTTTTCCTTTTTTTTTTTTTTTCTTTCTTTCTTTTTCTTCTCTTTTCGCTAATACTTAACAATAGTAAAAGATCGAATGACAGACGCATGAGTTTACATAGATCTTTTATGATATATGAACAATAAAAAAAAAGAAAAAGCAAACGAATAGACAAAAGATAATATATTAAAAAGAAAACTTTCATTTTAATTGATTGATTTCTTTTCTTTTTTTTTTTTTTAAACATTTGGAAAGAAATATTTACTCACCCATGAAATTATTACAATTAACATATGAATTTGTCAATATTATCCATTTCGTGTTACGAAGACTATTGCTATACTAATATTACTGCTTCTCTCATCAAGACAGAGGCCAACTAAATGATGTGATGATGCGCTCGCGTTGTCGACTGTAATGTTCTGCTCTCTCCCTCTCTGTTTCTCTCTCTCTCTGTCTCTCTTTTTCGATCGTCGATCTTTTGTTCTCCCTCGATACAAAAATAGATAGATAGATGCAGAACATGCATGGATGCCAGTTTTTTTTCCCGTTTCTTCTTTCTCTCTCTCTCTCTCTCTCTCCTCTTCTCTTTTCTTATTCATGTTGTTATTGACCTATTCGCACCCGGCACACGATTAAGAAAAGAGAAGAGGACGCTTGCTTGCTAGCTAGCCTAGGATTAATGATGTAGTCGAAATTGTTTTTATACATGCTCGAGAGATATATAGAGATAGATGGTTGAATAGAAGAAAAGAATAATTTAGTATGCTTATTTGTTTGTACACGCATATATATATATATATATTTCTTGTTTTCACATGTTCGTCTTCATCTTTTTCTTCCATCACTTGATGCTAGTAACATTTGCACCCGAAACAGGACGCGACCATTTCGACTACGCAGATAGAAATAAAGAAGAGAGAGAGAGAGAGAGACAGTCAGAGAACAAGAAAGAATCGAATTTTCTTTTGCTACCAATAACCCTCCCAGCACAAAACATAAAGAAAAGCAATGCTAATGTGTAGCACTAAAAAAGAAAAAGAAAGAAAGAAAGAAGAAAAAAAGAGCAGCATGCAACAGCAGAAGCAATACTGCTGAGTATTTTGACAAGAAAATTGGACTAGAAGATGATGGCACGCCAATACCATTGGCAGAACGGGTCTATTAGGGAAAATACAAAATATGTGTTGTTGCATGCACGCGTCGACGTTCTGTTACTACACTCATCTACTCTTCTGAAAAACCGATGACGACAACGACGACAAAACTCATATCATGGGGGAAAAAGAAATAAAAAAAAAAAGAAGAAAATGAGACAGACTATTTTATTCTTTTATCATTGCCACTAACACCACCCATAGTCATCATCATCATCAACAACAACATCTTTGCTTTATCCGAAAAGCTGGTTAAAAAGAAGAAAAAAAAAAACGAGAGAGAAAAAAAGAAAGACAGAAAGATGATGCTGTCTGCGTTCTCTTTCATTTGCGATTGAGTTGAACAGTCATTATGATTATCTATCAGCATTATATATTTGATAAAATGAGTGATGATGTACGGCTGCAGATGCGCATGAATAGAATTGAAGATTTATACACATTTTATTTTTTTCTTCGTATATCAAATGCAGATACAGAATACATTTATATTTATACATATAAATCCGATGGGAAAAAGGAAAAGCATGCAATAACAAAAAAAAAAATCTCAAACCAAAAGCGAATATATATAACAAAAACATTTTTCAAATAAATTCTTATTTGATAACATTCAAATACTTGTACATCGTAAGATTTTCATACAAGATTATCATTGAAGAAAAAAAAAAAAATCTATCAAAAAGAATATTATTCGAATAAATGTAGTTCAATTGATTTCTAGCACATCAAAGCTAGAAATCGTTCTTTAACCTCATCCACCAGCCATTGGTGCACAACCGGGACCTATTTATAAACAAAAAGAAAAAAAGATTAAAATAAATCATTATTAATATTTTTCTTTACCTCCACCTGTACCACCAAATCCACCCATGCGTCGTCTTGGTCGTGCATTAGGAGGTCTAAAAGAAAGCATTTTTTTTTAGTGCGTGTTTAATAATTGAAAAATATTGAACAGTATGCAAAATTTGTCATACATGACTTGTTGAGCATCTATTTCCGTATGGATTCATTCTTTTACAAAAAGAAAAAGAGAAAGTCATGCACGCAATCTTACCGATCGAATCGGCCACCTCCACCACCTCCACCACCACCACCACCGCCACCTCTACCACCGCCACCGGTACGATAATCAGTTGATTCCGTATTTCTTCCATGTTTAGTCAACGTTGGCTAAAAATAAAATTGTAAATTAGACTTATGTATATATGAAATAAATTTCAACATACATCAACCAATGAACGAAAACTAAATATAAAAGAACAAAAATAAGTGTTAGCGAAAAGAAAAAATATTTCTTACAATAATATCATAAAATTGATAAATGAAATAATTACATGATAAAGTCCACTTGGTGTCCATACCGGTCTTTGATCATGAACTGCGCCTAAATAAATAAATATATGCGCATCAAATATTATATTCAAGTAACTTGATCTCTTTGTAAATTTTAGTTTTTATTTACAGTCTACTGTTAGTCAAGAGAAAAAAAAGAAGACGATGAGAATGTATACCGGAAATAAGACACGATTATAGTGTGACAATTGATTCTTTTTTTTTTTTTTTTTTTTTTTCTTATTCTCTAATCCGATGATCAATAATGCACAATGACAGATGAAGGTGACAAGAACACGCCTGTTTTTTTTCTATATTTACCAGTTCTATCGACATAGGCCATTACGTGAATATATGTATATAGAAATTAAATCTAAAAACAATCATCCCAATAAAAATAACACCCTAGATAAAAAAAAAAAAAAAAGAAGAAAGAAAAACTAATTATGAGAAGTACAAAACAAAAAAAGAGCAATAACAAATAGTTTCAATAATCGAATAATTAATAAAAACTAATATAACAATAAATGTCTTAATCAAATTGGATTGAGATTTTTGTTGGTATTTCAATTCAATTTTTGTTTTTTATAATTCAACTTTATCCGTTGAACCACTGAAAAAGAAAAAAACGAAATGTAAATTATAAAAATCATCATAAATATATTTACGTTAAATATGTTAAAAGATCTTGTTCACTTCGACCACCATCATACTCTGATGATAATTGACCATTTCTATTTAAATGAATATAAAAGAAAAAATTAAAATTAAGATTAATATACTTACTCGAAGTATAAAACTAAAATGATTAAAAAAAAAACAAAAAGAAAAAAGGTTAAAATTCTTAATAATAAATATTTAAATTAATAACTTACATGTTGGAAAACCTTTAACTGAATATTTACTACCTAAATCTCTTTCAGCAGTTGCATCAACAGCACCAATAATAATATCCTAACAAATAGAATCATTAGTATAAGTTGAAATTTTAAAAATCTGAAAATGTTGGTTTTTTGAATGAACTGAAAAAATTTTTTCAGTTAGTCCTAACAAATATCGATCAGTGACCGTGTTAATTCTTCAAAAGTATCTTGATTTTTATTTTGACATGACACTAACAAATGAATCTGAAATTCCTATGTTTATTAACCAATAAAATTTCTATCGATGATTTGCATTAGTTCTACATGCATGAGAAGATCATAATGATAGAATTCTAGTACTGTATGAATATTTTCTCAATTCCAATTATTCCTTCAATATTGATTTGCTTTTTATATGAAAAAATTACAAATAAAAAAAAACAAACAAGTCATCATCGATAAGCGAGTTTACATTTGAGTACTATTATATAATACTAGTAGAAATGCGACGGTGATAATAATCATTAGTGGACTGGTTTCAATATGCACGTATAAAATAATGGTAAAGACATGATAACACTACAATGATCTTAGATTTATTTCAAGACATGTGCAAACTGTGAGAACTAATCTTTTACTCGGACAAGAAAATTGAACTGGAGAATTTCTACAAATTTCCTATGGATTTGGATTTCTGGACTCGGAAAATCTGTAGTCTATTTTGATAAAATTCAGCTATGATCTCTTTGACCGACAGAATCGAAATCAATCTAAGACCACCATAGTTTTATCATGCGTTCATCGTTATTTTATACGTGCATGTCAATACCAGTACAGAAAGCTGTATGTAAGACTGGAGTAATCGCTCAAGGGAAATCATTCCGATCGTCAGAAACAGCGTATTACTGTATTAGTTTTCACCGTTGCTTCTAATATTTTTGCTTTTTTACGAGCTTATGAAAAACGGCAACGTAAAAACATCGTTTTCGCCAATCTGGACGATGCATCGTCACTATTACATTTCTTAATACTACTAAATAAAAAAATATAGAGATATGTTCGAGTAGGATTATTCTGTAATTCCATTCTACAACTTCTTAATCGAAAGAACAAACACATCTACTTAAATATAGTACACATCGTGTAACACCCTGAACAAAAGAATATTTAAATGATCATCAATAACTAACAAAGAAAAAAAATTTTAATTGTTTAGTTATTATAATTACCTTATGTGTTGAAGCGAGTTGAGATGCAACAGATGAAAAAGTAGGTTTTGCTTTTTTACAATGTCCACACCATGGTGCATAGAACATAATTAATGCTTTACGAGATTGACCAATAATTGAATCAAATGTACTTGATTTAAGTAGATGAACATTTTCATAACCTGGTCCTGAATCTTTCCAAAATTCAATTGGATCAGCTGGTGGTGGTGGTGTAGGTTTTGGTTTATTTAATTGTTCTTCTGGATTATTCATAAATTCAACGAAAGCTTCTTCCTTAATTAATAGAAATTAATTTTTTTGTTTTGTAAAGAATTTAATTTGAAATTTTCTATTTACTGTTCTGTCACTTCCGTATTCTGCAATATATTTTCCATAATTAAAATATTTTATTGTTGGATAACCAGGTACTTCATATTCTTTACATATTGGTCGTTGTTTTGTACAATCAATAGCAGAAAACATAACCTAATCAAACAAAAAACAAAACTAGAAAATTTTTTGTTAATAGTAGAAATTAATTTACTTTTGGATTGTCTTTAAATTTTGCTGCAGCACTAGTATATAAAGGTTTGGCTTTTTTACAATGACCACACCCTAATAAAAAATACAAACATATATATATATTTATATTATTGTTTATTTTTGTTATTTACATGGTGCATAAAACATGACTAAAGCAGATTTCTTTTTCTTTAAAAGTGTTTTAAAATTTTCTTCATTTAAATGAACAACATCTGTTTCTTGTTCAGACCATTCTGGTTCAGGTGGTGGTGGTTCTTTTGGACTGAAGAGAAAAATTTTATTGTATTTTTATTTTTCTTTTTTATTCAATAAAATAAAAAATAATTTTTCTTACTCTTTTAAAAATGCAACAATTTTGTCAGCTGTTCTTTCATTTGTCTCGAAAGCATATTTTCCATCTCTAGATATTAAATAACAAAAAAAAACAACAAATTGTTTACTGAAATAAAATAATTAATATAACAGAGAAGCCCAAAAATTTTTTGCACATTCACTAGCAACATGCATACGCTTACCTGAAAAATTTCACTGAAAGAATAATTATAAATATACAACACACATTTATTAGCAAATGACAACAAAAAAAGAAAAAAAAAAAGAATTTAAGCACATGTTTGCTTTTAAACATACTTGTTGGAAATCCTTCGATTTTGTATTGTTTTGATAATTTTGGTGATTTAGTTGAATCGATAGCTGCGATTATAGCATTACTCTAAATATTAAGAATAAAAAAAAAGGTAATCATTAGAAATCTTGTGTGAAAAAAGTGTTTTTTTTTTGTTTGTTTAACCTGTTGATCATGTAAATCAATTGATGCTTTAATTAACTCTGGTTTCAAACTTTTACAATGTCCACACCCTATAAGAGAAAAATTCATAGAAATATTAAAATGAATAGACCTTCATTTCGATTTAGTTGTTAATTAATTGTATCGATATGAAATATCATTAAACTCTGTTGGAAGTTTTTCATAATATCTGTTTTTTTTTAATGCTCATATATACTTACAGGTCTAGGACAGTTATCCTTGAACATATTCTATCTTAATTTTTCAACAGATAATGCACAATTATATTAATTCAAATAATAAACTTTATCACTTGATTTTCTCATTCATGATTCTTTGCAGTATGGAGTACTGCGTAGTGATACATTCAATAGCTCGGTATTTTCCCTACAACTATGACTAGCTCCAGCTCTGGAGAGAAGTTTGGTCTAACGTAGTTTTTGCGCTCATGCCTCATAAACATTAGCTAACTACAAGAGCAGGTGTATGTCACAACGTCGTCAGCATGCTATCGGACGAGCGATTCGAGACAAACAGCTGTTTGTGATTTGCTCAGGGTCATTTCACGGCTGATCGTATCAAGGTTTGAACATAGTACCTTGTAAGTACGTGTCAAACTATGTAGTCGTTCAGTCATGTCAGTAGCTGAATATGAGTAAAGACAAAACTTATCCAGTCACACTTCGTGTCGAGCACTCAACCATTGAAGCCAAAAAAAAACCGAATCTTTCAATAAACGACTACAAAATTTGATTAAAAATTTACGTATAGACACTAACAATCAGTTAAAATATATCGAGCTCTTCTTTTTTCGTACTTCTATTCGAATAGTTTTCTCGAGTGTTTTCTTAAACGAGAATCTACCCTAGGACGCAAGTGTCCAGCTTCTATACTTACATGGTGCGTAGAACATTACTAAAATAGGTGATTGAGCATTTTCAGCAATAAATGTATCGAATGTATCATCATTCAAATGAACAACATAATTAACATTTTCACTATCAGTTGGAAAGAATTCTGTTGCAGCTTCTTCGGCTGATGGTTCTTTTGGTGGTTGTGGACTAAGAATATAATTTGAATTATTTATTAATTACAATAAATAATTCATCTTACTCTTTAAGCCATTTTATAATATCATCTTTAGTATGACCACCTGTATAATGAAATTTTTCTTCACCGTTTCTAGAAAAACAAAAAATAAAAACAAAAAATATTTCTTAAATGTTTAAATTTTATTTTCAATATTCATACTCAAAATAGATAAGAGTAGGAAATCCAGTTATATTGAATTGTCTACGCATTGGATAATTTTCAACTTTATCAACATTCATAACAGCTAATTGATATTGACCACGAACTTCAGTAGCAGCTTCAGCATACAAAGGTTTTAATTTTTTACAATATCCACACCATGGTGCATAGAAAAAAATTAATAATGGTAATGATTTTTTTAATACACGTTCAAAATCCTAAATTATTTATTTAGAAAAATTTCATTATTTTAATAAATTATATTTTTACTTTTGGATTATTTAAATGAAGAATATCACGAGTAAGTTCATCTTCATCCCATGGCATTTCACCTTTCGGATCAAGCATAAAAGTTATCATAGACTAAATTAATACATAAATATAATCATTATTAGATAAGTACTGTATTAATACCTTTGCTACATGTGCACGATCATATACTTTATGAAAATCTCCATCTCTAGAAAATACAAAAAAATTTAATTACAAAATTTAGTCAATTAAGATAATAATAAAAGTATGAAAACAAAAAAGAAGCTATGATTCACAACTTCCAAAGATTATTATCCTAAAATTGTTTTGTTCTTAAGATACTGGCAATTGTCTCTACTGTGTGAAATAATTTGATTGGATTGAAAGAATACTTCTGCATTTCAGTATGCGATGTTGCCTAGTGACAGATTCATTAGTCCGGTATTTTCTTTACAATTAATGTTAGCTGTAGTTCTAGAGGGAGGAGATTGTTGAGCTTATCACATATATTTCACAAAGTTGGGAACATATTATCAAACGAATGATTCGATATAAATGTCTGCTAGTGACTTGTCCACAATCATTCTATGGTTGGTAATACCGAGGTTTGAACATAATACTTTGTTGATAGGTAACAATATAGTGTAGTCACTCAACCATGATATCATTGAAAAGAAAGTCAATTAAGCCTATTAATATGATGATAAAATCTTATTATCCTTTTCAATTGACTTATTATCATTTAAAAACATCGAAAATATATTTATATACTTCTTTTTTATAATAAACAATCAAAATAGATTCTGATAAAAATATTTTGAAAAATTCATAATGTTTTAAAAGTCATAAAACAAAAATATATCGTAGCATAATCAACAAAAAAAAAGTTCTAGAAGAGAGCAGCTAGAGCCGATCGGGTTAGTTCCGAATCCGAACTCAGTCGAGCTCAAATTTGAAAACCTTAGACTCGATACGGTCTAGTGATCTAAGCAATGTGCAAGAGGCGCTAGATACTCAAAATAAACAAACATAAAAACAAGTATCTCATCTCTTCGAAGCGACTATTCAATTATATTATTATCATCTTTATATTTTAGAATTTTGTAAAAAAACAAAAATGATTACTAACTTAAAATGTCGTAATTCATTATTATTTGTATCACATTTGAATTTTTTACAAAGTTTTTTTCCTTTTCTAGAAAAGATAATAGAAACAAAAATCATTTAAAATAAATTTTCTTTTATGTTTTTTTTTTTTAATATTTTTACTCGCAACTAATATAAACAAGTAAACCTAGACCTTTTATTTCTGGTTCAACTTGTTTAAATAATTGAAGAACTGGTTTTGCAGTTTTCTCTATATAATAGAAAATATAATCATTATATATTTAGCATTTGAAAAACAAAAAAACAAAAGAAAATCAATATTTAATTACCATTTGGTGAACAAAGTACAAGAACATTTTTATTTTGTTTTAATAGTCTTCTAAAATCTTTTTCTTCTATTGGACTTTCATATCCATATATTAAATAAATAACCTAAAGAATAAAATTTTCAATAATAAAAACAATACAAAAAACAAAAAATTTATCTTACAGAAAAAACGAGAATAAACGTCCTAATTCTAAGCATGACTTTGATGAATAAATTAGATGAGACATGAAAATAGAAAGCCAGCGCATCAATCTGTCCATAAAATAATCACCAATGAAATTATTTCAAATTCAGCGGCATCTTTATATATTATAAATTGATTAATGATTGGTTTATCTTGTTGGGAATTTTTTTTTCTAATACTAGATTTGTTTTGTTACTACAACATCTTATTTCGTTTTTTTTTTATTCTTCTATTTACCAATTTCACACATACCACAAAAAAAACAAAAAATTGATTTGAAATTTTGCTTAAATAATGGCTAAAGATACAAGTTCACAAGAGTATCTTAATTTAAAAACTGAATTACGTTCATTATTAATTAGTTCACAACAAGGTTGTGATGAATATCAGTTAATGAGGGATTATAATGCATATAATGGACGAAAAATTCCCTTTCATGAAATGGGTTATGGAAATTTAATTGAGTTATTAACATCAATGCCTGATGTTGCACGTATGGATCAAACAAGAAGACCCATAATAATTCATGGTATTGCTGATCAAAGTACAGTTCATATTAAAAAATTTGTTATGGCTCAAAAAAGAAAAAAACCTTCACGAAATGGACGTGGTGGTATGAATAGAAGTAATTTTAACAATCGAATAACTGGACCATTAATGAGTTCAAGAAATCGACAGGTTTGTTTTTATTTGAATTTTTTTGCATAATGAATATGAGAATATAATATTGTTAAATTATAACATGTAGAAATCATTATATGAAAATCGTCGTAATTTTCTTCTAAGAGTATACACAACAAAATTTTCGGCTCTACTGAGAAAAGACCGGATTTGATATTCTCCTCGTGGCAATGTCGAGCTATCCTTGATCTATGTGTCTAATCATTGTTGCGTATGACTGTAAATCAAAGTTTGATTTAAGTATTCATTAATCAAAAGTGTTTGACATAAGAGATAGAAATAATGATCTACTGTCGAATAAAAAGATGAAATAATGTTCTTTTCATATGAATTTACAATGAAAGTAATATCATAATTATTAAGATAAGTAGGAGAGATTATTGACATAGAAAAATAAACAAAAAAATAATGAATATCTTTAAAAATCAAATGAGAATATGTTTTGTTTTTAATAGAAAAGTAGAAATGTTGGTTATTCGAAATTTGAACAAAAATTTTTAAGATAATTGGATAAAGTTCATTGAGTCACATTTAAAATTATTCGAACGATTTTTTCATAAGAAAAACTTAGGAAAATTAGAAAAGTCTATAAAAACTGAAATATACCAAAAAGATTAAGTCTCGATAGCTTTAATATTTGTTTTTACTCATCATATAGTTAAGAAAAATCGATTTTTATCATGAGAACTTTGTTTCTAGATAAAACAAATTTTCTACCTTAGAATAACCTCAGATTAGATTATTCGAAAAAAAAAACATTGAAAGGATGTCACAACCGAAAATTTGTTTTAAGAGTATCCGCCCTTTCATGGCCCGAATTTTTTTTTCGTGGCCATTATATAGTCTGAATTATTATCTATCTACTGAGTACATAAAAGAAATGCAAAAACATCTCTCGTTTCTCCAGCCTAGTACATCCAATCGAGCTGGAACGTTTTTTTCTGTTTAGAAAAAAAAAACATACTTTCTAGCTTGATCGAACATAGACTTTTGGATAAATGGCAGAGTCGGAGAGGCGTACTCTTAATTATTATTAATCTTCTATAGGTGATTTAGTAGAAATATGATTTGAACTCTTTTATGATTCCCTATAATTAGTAAGAGTAAGTATATCATGTGTTTTACATTGTAGGGATATAGTAATGGCATTCCATTTCAACCATACAGTCAAATCAAAAGTACCCAGAGAAATTGTTGGGATACAAATAATACTCAAAATTTGTCCATACCTCAACATAGCACTAAAATATCTTATTCTTCATTATCTGTGATAAATAATTCCGTCCAAAATCAAAATTTTTCAAATGGTAATGTGTATATAAAATTAATGAATTATTTTTATTTTGTAAGTTTTTTTTGGTTTTTATTTTATTTTAGGAACTGGTGAATCATTCACTAAAATGACAACAACTAAAATAGTTGCATCATTTCCACCGAAACCTAGTCCAACATCATCACCAATATCAATATTAAATTCAATATCAGGATCTATTCGAGCAACACCAACAATAGATGATAATTTATCAACCATAGATGATGATATAAACGTTTCAGAAGATGATGAATTAGCTGCTTATGATGCACAACAAGCCGAAGAACATGGAGAGACAATAGTTTTTCTTCGAAAACGTATACGACAGGTAAATTTAAATTTAATTTTTTTTTTTTTGTTGTCTAAAAAAAAAATTTTTTTTCTTATTTTTAGTTGTTACTTAAATATCCATCAGGTGTATGGCTTTCAAGTGTTCATAAACTTTATCAGGTTATTTTTGTTTCTTCTGATCTTTATTTATATGAAAATAATAATTGTACGATTTCTTTTTTTTTTTTGCTATAGAAAACTTTCAATGAAACCTTAAATCTTGAGGACTTTAAATTAAAAAATTTAATGGCGTTTTTTGATTGTGTATCTGATTTTGTTAATTCTGAACGTGATCGATTACCTGATTCAACTGATCGACTTTTCTTACTTAAATCGAAATTTATTGAGGCAACTAAACGAGAACAACAAACATGTAATTTTTAGTTTTTTTTTTTTTTTTTGAATTCAATTTTCTATTAATTTAGTTGATCAAATGAAATCAACTATTGTCAATAATAATTCGAATACAATGAGTACAAATCAAAATTCATTTAGACATATAACAAATGGAATAAATCGACCATTAGTTGATTTATCATCATTTGTTTCATTTGATTTTCAATATGAACAAATGAAATATAATTCAAATGAATCATTCGATGGATTTTTAGGTGATATAGAAAATCCATGGAATATTCATATTGGAAATAAACAATTTATACCAAAACGTGATCATATGATGACTCAATTACAGTAAGTTTCTTTAAATTTCTATTGTAACATTTCGAATATAAAATAATTATACTAAATCTAATTCTAGCGAAACTAGAAAACTATTGACAAAAAAAAAAAAAAGAAAGTGATATCTCCAGAATAGAGTCTATTGGATACAGAATTTTTGAATCCAGGATTCGGTTGATCAGACTTTTTCGGAATTGGATAGTCGCCTCGAAGATATTGTATTCAACGGCTAGGATGTGGATGAAGAAAAGAATAGAAACCATATACACACTTCCTTATATTTAAAAATAAAGAAAATCTTATTAGTTGAAATTTATCGATATTTTTCCTTTCGACCTTTCTCTATAGTCAATTGTTCAATATATTTTATTTTTTTAATCTAGAGATCATTATAATCAAATATCAAATGAATCAATATATGTAATCCCATTTGAACAAATACAAATAAATTTATCTTGTGTTTATTATCATGACAATGATACATATTATCGTTCATCAATAATACGAATAGATTCAATGATTAATACTGATATATTAATATTAAAAATTTATCTTGTTGATTATGGTATAATGATCTCTGATATACATTATCATATAAATTCAACAAATTTTAAATTTCTTCATAAAAATTTTTCATTATTACCAACAGAAATTTATGATTGTCGTTTAGCTAATATTCATTATCCACATACATCTATTCAATGGCATGATGATGCACGTCAATTTATTTATGATTTTATTCATGGAATAGATTTTTCTGTTCAAATAATAGGTTTTATGGATCTATTTTATTGTATTTATTTATGGATTGAACAAAAATCAATAAATCAATTACTTATTCAACATGGTTTTGCTATTGAATTTGATGATTCAAATTATTCAAATGTAAGAAAAAATCTTTTTTTTGAATAAGATTTATTTATTTATTTATTTTTTACTTATAGTTTCAACCAATTTCATCAAATTTGTATGTAGAAATAATTTTGAGTTTTTTTATTGAATTTAAAAATTTATTTAGACAAGCAATACCAAGAATTCAATCAAATATAAATAATAATTATATTGATGAACGATTATTATTAAGACAACAAGATAATAATATTGAATTTAATATTGAAGAAAATAATTTAAAACATTTTATTATTTCAATTGATCATGCATATTATTTTGTTAAACATCCATTTACAAAACGACCTTGTTTACCATGTTTTGAAGTAGCTCGATTATTGAATAAAGATGAAACATTTGTTTCACAATTGGTTAAAAAAAAAAACAAATTATATATTCTTCTTGACTAAATTGTTTTTCTTTTTTTTTTTATTTCAATAGAATCTTATTCGAGAAACAGAAGTTTCTCTATCAGAAACACATAGAATATTATTTAATGATTTACGTTGTTTATCAGAATCAATTAAATGTCCACATATTCATCGTAATGATGATAAAGCTACAATTAAACTTTATGATCTTAGTTCAATAAAAGATTATTTATGTAAAATTAAATTTACAGAAGGTGATATTATTGATGCATTTACTCAAGAATATGATAATTATGAAAGAGCTGGATATTGGAATGAAAAGAAGGTTTGTTAAATTGAAAATTATTTTTATATGAATTTAAATCCAAATAATAGATTATGAGGATTAGTATTAACTTACAAGAGAAGTTGAGTACAATTGTTTGGAGTATTACTGCAGAGATACTATATTTGTATGATATTTTCGAATTGAAATTTTGCATAGAGACAGATAATAAGCTAAGGATTCGCACTCTTTTGTTATAGAAGATCAATTAAAATAACGATCCAAAGACTGAATATTTAGATCTTATGAAAAAAAAAACCCTCACAGAAAACAAAATAAACAGCATAGAATATGTTTACAAACAAAATGAAGGAATGTTTAAGACGAGAAATAAATAGGATCTAGAATGATTGTAATACAGTAAGCACAATAAATCCTGATCAGCATTGGATCGTTCTTCATGCAAAAGAGCAAAAAAGTTAACATAGGATTTTTTTATTCAGCCAAGGATATGTCAACATAGCGTAACACATCTCATAGTGCTTAGCCTTCTCATTCAAGAGCGTTCTAGATAACAAAAACAGCGAGATCACAACAGATTGGAGAGTCGCCTATCCGTAATATAGTGAAGAGATGTTCAGCTTTCCTTGATAATAAAAGAATGGATATCACAGCTTCCATGTATTAAGCTCGATCGACCACGGATTGGTACTTATGATCAGAATTTATTCAGCTTTATTTCTATCAGACAGAAAGATTCAAATTTAGGTACTTGCCACCTTGTAACGGGACTTCTGTAGATTAGAACCTGTCGGATTCAAATTTTTTCGAACCCTACTTTGGCATTCTCCATGAAATTTTCTAATCAACATTGGATACTCGTCCCGAAGATGTGGCATACTTTTTTTTCTGAATTTTTTGTGTTCAGTGACTAAGAACCCTTCGAATCTAAAATTTTCAGATCCGTCTAGGTTCGAGATCCTAACCCGATAGGTCTATAGATTCAACTAGAATTACATTCAGATTAAAACTTGAAGAGCAAAATAATAGAAATTTTATTTGTCGTGAATAAATAACATTTGTCATTATTCTTCAAAGGAATAAAATATTTCATAAATAAAAAAACAAACTTTTATTATTATTATTATTTAGAACCAGTATATAAACAATGATAATCTTCAAACTCATCAAGAAGATTTATATCAACGAAAGAATATGTTAAATTTTCGAAAGTACAAAAAAAAAAAAATAAATCTAAAAATTCTTTTTTTTTTTTTTTGTAATTAATAAAATTATTTCATATTTAGAGAACAATTGGTTTCATTATCTAAATCTTATCATGATTATTCATCTCAAAATGAAATACAAGATATTGAACAAAAATTAAAAACTACAAATGAAAAATTATATTCTATGGAAAAAATATTTCCTTCAACAATAAATAATCATTTAATATATCAAACATCACCATTATTATCATCAAAAATAGAAATAAAATCATCAAATAAAAAAATGCGTGAAACACTTTATCGTATAGCACGTCCAATTGATCAACAATTTTCATTAGATATTTGTTTTAAACATCAATTTTTAACAAATGAAATATTTAATGATATTAATAATGATGATATTGAAGAACTTTTTCAAGATTTATATCGTATAATAAGAAATGTTATTGAATTTTTTACTGTTGAATCTGAAATACTCGATGAAAATAATCATAATTTAATAAATCAAGCACGAAATATTTCATTAAATTTAATTGAAATTAATATTCCATTAAAAAAACGTATTGAAACATATAATGATTGTTTACAAATTATAGAATATTTTCAACCAATTATAAGATATTGTCTACAACGAACTGATTTAATTGATATTATGTGACTTATTTTCAAATATTATTTGTTTCTTTTTTTTTTGTTTTAGTTACCTTAACGAACTGTGATTATGTCTATTTTGAAATTGTTTAAACAAAAACAAAAAATGTATATAAATAGAAAGAAAAAAAAAAAAACGATTTTTTGTTTTTTGTTCGTTCTTTGGAGATTTTTTTCTTCTTCTTCTTGTGTTCATTACTTTAATACAACTAACATATGTATGTAGAGCTTGTGTTTTTCTTTTGTTGTTTATATTTGAGTGAAGAGTGAATATTAAAAAAAAAAAAAAAAAAAAAAGAAGATTTATGAAAATAATTATTGTTGTCTCTCTCTTTCTTTTTTTCATGTTTGAATTTAACAAATATTTATTCAATATGTATTTAATAATTTTGTCGAGACAGTCTTATATCAATGAATGGGATCTAGATGACAAGGTTTCTTAGAATATTAAAATGGAAAAAAAAACCAAGAATGACAAAAGAGATGTATGCAATGATACAGATGACGCCGAGAATTAGTTCTGTAATTTTCAAGTTGGTTTATTATTTTATCTTGTCTTTTACCCACGTGAATAATAATCGATATTAACTTGAAGAGAGTCAAATTATGAATGTATTTGATACGAATGAGATTCAATATTAAGTAATAGGACTAATAGACTGATAATCTGATATGTTTTTTTCATATATAGAAAACATAGCTATGCTGGTTGTAACATATGTGGAAAATTTGATATGAAGGAATTGTTTATTAAGTTTTCCAAGACAAGCATAAAAGAAAAGGTAACAAATCGCACAAATAGTAATAAGAATTTCTATGTATTGATATGATTTCTGAAATGAAAGATATCAAAGTTAATGGTAGAAATAGCACAATGAGCTGACAGAGATAGAACCGATCTGCGATTTTTCGGAACCGAACTGATTTCATCTCTGTGAACTAAAATAATAAGAAGAATGATGAATCATTCATTATTTATATTTGTTTAACATGTAAGAATCCACTAGGATATGTGAATATCTTTTCGTTTTTTTCTGTAATATTTAAAGTAGAGTCCTTCGCCGGAGTTACATCATTAAAATTGTCGAGTATTTTTACTTTTACATAATGAAAAGCTTATTCTTCATAAGTTAAATAATTAACAACAATATACTAGATTCATAAATAGATTTGGAGAAAAAAAACCATCAGAGGATTGTTCACGTTAACAAGTGGCGCAAAGAGACGTAAATATACTAGTCAAAAAAATTTTCAAGTCACAGCCGAGTTCCGGATTCAAAAAGTTTGACTCCGCAAGTATCTATTTAGAAGTTCTTCGTGGAATTGTTCTGAAATCATTGTTTTTTTTTTGAGAATGTAGCGGAAGAGAAAAATCTTCAGAAAATTGTACGAGAGAAGTACAGTAAATATTCCGTAGACTAATATAAAATACGTCAAATGAAAAATCTCTCGTTAACTATACTTATTTTGCAGGATTATTGATCATCAGAGTAAAGGTCTCTCTAATTTTTGTATTTTTTCTATTGAGGGCCCTATTTTTTGTTTTCATTGTTACTATTCACTCATTATTTTTAATTCGTTTTTTTCTTAATTTAACATTCTTATTATTATAATCACTGAATTAATTGACAAATAAGTCAGGTTTTCATATCCAAAATATCTACAGTAGATCTTATGCACTATTATATATATTAATCAACACACAAACAATGATATTCATTAGTTTTCAACATTATAACTTGATTAATTTTGCAGAAAAAAAAAACTCTAGAGAGTCTGACGCCTGTTATTGTTGGTTGCTAAATGTTTGTAATGAAGACGGAGGAATTGGAAAACTCTGACTTCAAACTTACACTCACTATTTTCTTCGAAAATATATGTGAGTTCTAAAAAACTGTCATTAAAAAAATATCATAGCAATCTTATATCATCAATTGATCAATATCATATCCATGATTTTATCCATTCAATTTCAATAGATAGTAGCTTTATTAGGAAAAAATAATAAAGTAATTCAGTTAGTCAAATAGAAGACTGAAGTTAATAGACAAAATATTCTTATCTAATCTTGTGCTTTTTTTTGTTTTTAGATAATTCTTCATTTAAAATCAACTGTCTTTTATAAAAATAGATTTTTGGTTTTTATCTAATATCAATAAAATATAATTTTTAAAATATTTATATTTTAGAATAAATTTAAAATGTCAGAAATAGATGTCGGTATACTTAAACAAGAAATTCTATCATTACTTGTCTCAGCTAAAAATGGACTCAGTGAATATGAATTACTTAATGATTATCGATTATTTAATTCAAATAAAGAACTTCCATATAGAGATTTAGGTTATTCATCATTAATAGCTTTACTTCGTTCATGGCCAGATGTTTGTCGTTTTCAACAACAAGGAAATAATATTATTAAAATTCTAGCTGTCGAAGAAGAAAGTACAAAACATATTTTGTCTATGGTCAAAGGACAACGTTCAAATAAATCTCGACGTGCTCGAGGTGGTCGTAATCGAGCACGAGGTGGAGAAGCATATCGAAATAATGGTCGTGATAATCGTGGTGCTCGATTCTTACAAAATACTTTTAATTCCAATAATAATCGATCAGGAGGTAATAACCGTGCTACAACCAATGGTCGTATGCCTTCTAGTAATAATCGTTTCGAACGATCAACAGCATCATCTTATTCAACAATAGGACAATCGAATCAAAATTCTAGAAACAAACCAAATGTAAGAATTATCATTTATATTTCACAAAGATAGAATATACTAATTGATAAATGACAAGAATAAAAAGTTGTTAGCACAATCCTTGCGGAATTAAGATATGAAATACGATGTACCTGCTGTTACTAATCTTTTACTTAATTCTCTGAAAATGCAATAAGAAAGTAGTTTATATATTATAACAAGATGTTATTAACATATGGTCTTTGATCATATATTAACAACATCTGTAACGGAAATAGGGAACGTTGCTAAGGCATCTACCACACTCGGAAAAACAACAAATGGAAGTTTCGACAACTAATCGCATGTTTGACTGAACCGTGATTGCTATTTCATTTCCAACAAACTTCTATTTGCACACATGTGATTCAATTACATAGAGCACCCGACAAGGATGATGGTAGCATGTGAAAAATGAAGATTTACATCAGGAAATGGATTCGTAGATGATCTCACTAGTAAACAGTATTTTAATGTTGATATTTATCGAAATATTAAGAAAAAACAAAAACAATATTCATTATCGAATAGTGATAACTGAAGCAAAAAGAATCTTGAAAATAAGGAAAAATCATCAAAGGTTATGAGAAATTTTTTGAAGTAACTACTACTTACTCTCGTGCAAGGCTTCATGCTCAATTACAAGAGTTCACTAAATATTCGTATTAATATTCATATCTAATGTTTTTTTATCATTGAATAGATTGTTAGTGATTTTTCTGAACTTCTCTGAGTAATTTCACCATAATACTAAGAAAATTCTTTTTTGCTGATTTTATTTTTCAGTACTGCGACTAATTGTCATAGGCCTTTCATGATCTGTGTGGAGAATCCGAAGTTTTACCCGTATACTCCAACACTCCTTTTAAAGATCATGTTTTACAAAACTATTTCGAAATCTATAATAACTATAATCTAGGTTCCGGCACTACCTCGATTTGCAAAGCAACAACAGCAGCAAATTCGTGCATATGTAACTAGTTCTAGTCAACCTCGAATGTCGTCTTATGAATTACGACAATCAACAAATTCGACTTTACTTGATGATCGTCGTGTAATAAATAATTCAACATCATTACAAATTACTGTTGCTAATAATACAAATAACAATCGTACGAATAATATAAATGATATATATAATGATTATCAATATTCATCAGATATTCCTGGTTGGTGAATTTTATTTTGAAATTATTTATATACATTGTAATGATTGTTTTTAGCATTTCAATTTGCTGATTATATAATAAATGAAGATGAAGAACAATATGATGAAGAAGATGATGATAAAGAAGAAGAAGTTATTAATAATCTTCGAACTGTAAGAAGAAATAAATGAAGAGGAAAATAATAAAATTTGTTTTTTTCTTTTTTTTTTTTTTTCAATAGCTTTTAACTGAATATTCACATGGTATTCGACTTTTGGCTTTAGATGAACTTTATCAAGTTAGCTATTTTTCTCTTTATCAATTTCAATATTTTTTCACTTTTATTTATATAGAAAAAATTTGGCAAAAATCTTTTAACTGAATTAAAAATTGCTAATATTCTATTACTTCAAGATTTTGTTGATGATTTTGCATCTATTTCACGTCATGGTGAAGAAAATGGTTCATGTGATCATATTATAACTCTTAAAGATCCTAAACAAGTTGCACAAGTAAATCAAAGTATTTAGAATAAAAAACAAAAAAAATTTAAAGTATTTATTTTTAAAGACACAATCTCAATTATTACAACAAATAACAGATTCTGGCATTGTTTCAAAAACATTTCATTATGCAACAAATCTTTTTTCATATATAAATGATCGACGTTTTCAAGGTTTTATATCTGATATTGATAAAAATGAACATTGTCTTCATGTACAACCAGTTCGTTATCAAGAACATATTGAAACATTAATGGAAGAACTTCAGTAAAAACAAAACAAAAAAAAAAAAATATCATTTTTTCTTTGTTCCTTATTGAAATCAACATACTTTTTTTTCTTTTTTTAAATTTAAGTTCATATTATTCAAGTCCAATATCAAATTCATTAATTATTAATAATATTGAAACAGGTCTATCATGTGTAACAACATATGATGGAATATATCATCGTGCATTTATTAAAGAAAGTGATTTATATAAATGTGTTATTGTTTATATTGATTATGGTACAACAAAAGAAGTTAATAAAGATGAACAACAATTTAAATATTTACTTAAACATTTTGCTGAATTACCATGTATGGCTATAGCATGTCGTTTAGATGATATAAGTTTTATACCAAATGATAATAATTTATTACCAGATACATATAATGAAATATATACATTATGTAAAGATGGACCATTTTTTATTGAACCAACTGGATATATAAATGGACTTTTAACAATTAGAATTCTTGATGCAGATGAACAATGTTTAAATGATATTGTCGTTCAATTAAAACTTGCAGTACGAAAATTTTCATAAATAATTTGTGAACTAAATATTTTCGAATTCAATGTAGAATGTATTTGAATATACTTCTAGGAAATATTAACGACAAAAAAAAAACAACACTTTTTATTGCATTCTTAAGTTCAAATATGACAATATGATAGAGGAAAAAAAAAATAAAAACTCTACCTTTTTGTAATTATTCTATTCTTCTAAAGATCTTAAAATTGATTACTTTTAAATTCATCAAGATAGGAGTTTATCACTACATCATGTCAATTCATAGAGTTTATTCTAACTTGGAATGAGATATGAAAATATGGATTTGGATGAAGAGAAGATCTCGAGAAACATTCACAGTCATACTCTCTTCTATCAGGTGTTACATCGGTGAAGTAAAGAGTTTACTAAATTAAAATAAAAACAAAAGCAATGAGTAGATCTCAGAAAGAGATAACAAAGTGGTAGGAAACATAGGTCTTCGAGTCACAGTGTCATATAACTAAAGATCGAGCTTCCAAACCTGACTGAGTCGGGATTTAGAAATTTTCTGTTAATCGGAACAGGAACTGATTTGATAAGTACTATTCTGAAAGTTAGAGTTAATTATAACTTAATTCTTATAAGATCATCATCAAGATTACCTGAAAATGTGTGTTAGTCACCGAATATAATCGAAAAAATTATATTGCATCTGCAGAGCGACTACCACGTGCGGATTGAAAAATTTAATTGAGAGTACAGTTTGAACCCAAAAATGCTGAACCTGACGAGATCTACAGTACCGCTCCACCCTACCATCAGACTATGGCAGCTTTCTTCACATTGTGATGATACTCTCCTTTTTTATTTTCGAGCACAGCTAGATCTGTAAAAATGACTGATTGTAATTAGTTTTTTATATTTCGAAATAGTCTTGATGTATTTTATTTACTCTATTTGATGTCGTGGAAATGAAGTATAATGATTATGATGTATATCCAGGACGATAACAGCCGTGTTGCATTGTATACGACCGTACTTGTTTGATGACAAGGGGAAGAGAGTGGGGTTGAGATGAATTTTTAGTGAAAAGATTTCCTTTATTTAGTATTTACGGATCAAACAATATAGAATAAAAACGGGAGAAGAGCAGCTAGTCGAACGATTTTTGTTTAGGTATGTGTGACATTAATATAGAAAGATTCGTATTGTTCTATCATATTCTCAAATTTAGACTTAAGAATGAGAATTTCTTTCAACATTTTTTAGTTATACAAATTATTGTTTCAATTTCTAAAATTTGACTCAGATCTTAGCTTAATAAATATGTTAAAATATTTTTCTAGGTTAAAATATCCTCACTTCAAAATCAATCTCCAATAGATAATTATCAACAAGAACAGTAGGTTCTTCTTATTTGATATTTTCTGTTTAAGATTAAAATTTTTTTTCTTTTCTTATCTTTAAGACAAAATGTACGAAAACCTGTTGAATTAAAATTCGATTTTTTGAATGATGCTGTTCAATGTCCATTACCAGATTCAGAATCATCAACACCAGAAAGCAATACAGATAATTTGAATTTTAAATTACCAAAAAATAATTCTATTCAAATAACAAATAATTCTTCAAATGTTAAACATCAATGTAAATTGATTCAAATTAATGAAAACAATTCATTTTATCTTATTCGTTATAATAATAATAAACCATATATACCATGTTTCAGTTTAGCACGCTTATTACATCTGTCTGAATCAGATGTTTTATCTGAAACTGTAAAATGAAAACGATTATTAATTTGAATATTTATTTAAAAATTCTTTCTTTTTATTTTCTCTTTAAGTTATTATCACGTATTCGTTTACAAGATACATCTGAATATTCTTCAATATTTGAATATCTTAGACAAACAAATCCAAAAGATTGTCTTCATATTCAACAAAATTTGCTCTTTCTATTTGATCTAATATCAGCATTGAAATATATTGAACGACTTGGTCAGATAAATAATAATATTCTTATTGAAACATTGCGTCAACAAATCAATGCATCGAATGAACCAGAATTTTGGAATAATGCCTATGTATATATTTCTTTTTCTTTTTTATTAAATAAAATATATAGTTTATATTTTCAGGATTGTTATAAACCCTCAACTATTGTACCACCATTATTATCTGTTCAATCTTCTAATCAAACTGATGTTGAACGTTATAATGAATTATTAATTCGCCGGTATTTAAATAGAATTCATATTCATATTAATAAATCTAGTGGAAATTTTTGAGACATTAATTTTCTTAGAATTAAACAAAAAAAAAGGATAAAGATGAAATATTGGATAATAAAGATCAGATGTTTTTTATGAATTTCTACCACATTGCTAGAGTTTCCACTACGGAAGATATAGAAGAATACGGGATTGTATGATACCCACACTAGACGACATGTTCTCAGAATGTGTGTCGAAATCACCTGACATTCTTGAGAAATCCTATTGTTGAGATTTTTGAAAAAATTTTGGTTTTTTTTGATAGCTGAATGATGCATTTTTGTGGATAGGGAAGTATAGTATCGGTTGTGTTAGGAATGCAACAGTGAACACATTATAAAACTGAAGTGTGGAAAAAGTTTAACAATAACGTATTTTTGACTGGTTTTTTTAATGTTAAGCAATTAGCTCAAATCCAGATATTGATTTTAATAGCTAATGAAGTTTTCTATTTAAGGCGTTTTATACCAAGATTTCATAGATCATGTGTAATGGTAAGGTTTCTGAAAAGCCAGATATGGTAGTTTTCGGGTTTCAAAAAGTTATCTTTTTAACAATACCATTTTAAAGAAAACAAAATAAGGAGTCACAGCAACTTCTACAATTTTCCCTTAGAAAGCTCAAAGAATAACAAAAACCAAAAGAAGACTTTTTTAGTCGATTTTTTGATAAATTTTGTCTTTCTTATGGTTTTTGTGATGCTTTTAACTTTATAAGGAAAGTTTGTACAAATGCGGTGACTCCTCATTTTATTTTCTTTAAAATAGCATTGTTGAACAATAGATCCGACAAAGTCTTCCGAGATCTGAAAACTACTGTATCTCACTTTTTTAGAAACTTTACCATCGTAGTACATCTATGAAATCATGGCATAGAACGGATTAGATAGAAAATTCGATTGGCTATCAAAATTACTATATGAATTTGAGCGATGCATTTCGACTTTTTTAGTCCGAGGAGATTTATTTAAAAACATGAACAGACCATAAGAACTAAACCTTCTTCGAACGAGAAAATTGAACTCAAGAATTTTGACAAACCTCCTATAGTTTCGGACACTTAGACCTCAAAAACCAATAATCTAGTTTTATAAAACTCAGCTATTTTTTGGAATGGCCTCTTCGACCAAAAAAAATCGAAATCGATCCAAGACCATCAGAGTTTTATCATGCGTTCACCGTTAGTCTATACGTACATGTTTAGATCAGTGCAAAAAAAGCTGTACGTAAGACTGGGGCACCGTCACCATTGCGCCCCTAGATTGTATGCTTTAAGTATGTGAACTAATTCCTTTGTTGGGATTGCATCGTATATCTTCATTAGCAAAAACTAGAACTGGGTTCTGGAAATTCATAAAAGGCGTCATACGAGAATATTAATCTTTTTATTTTCTATGATTAAACTAAAACTAATCATTTGAAAAGTACCATCGAAAACCATTAAGATCGGATGTTTCTCACAGATTTCTTTTTTTTTCTCATTAATAAAAAGTTTAAAATATATTACTTTTTTTTTTTTCATAATATAATTTAATTAACATTTTCATCTTGAAGTAGAAATATCTTATGCGATATGTTACGTACTGATCATGTAACTGAATGTGCCATTGAATTAACATCAATTGAAAATGAACTTGAACAATTAGTACAAAGAATGCGTCTTGGTGCAATATCTCAACAAAATAGTAATGTTTCATTAACACCATCTAGTCTCACAACATCGATACATAGTGGTATAGACTAAAAGAAATTGAATTTAAAATAAAAACATTCTTCTTTTAGATCAACAAAATTTATCTATGAATAAAACTGATAAATTAAAAGATTTAATGGAACGATGTAAAAAATTAATTAATATTATTCTTGTTCTTGATGATTTTGTTGCTATTGATGATAATATAACGAAATATATTGAAAGTAATTTATCATTTTTAAATTCTGGAAAAATTTCATCAAATGATAATCAATTATATAAACAATATTCTAATTTACTTGAAAATCTCACACATATTGTGAATGATCTTCGACAACAATTACCAGCTAGTGTGAATTTTTAATTATTGTCTAATACGAATCATTTCTGTCAATTACAAGAGAAAACCAGCATTTATCATTATCTTCTTCTTCTTCTTCTTCTTTTTTATTCAACAGAACAAATCCAATAACAATGATTGAATGAAAAAAAAAAAAAATAAAAGACTTTATGTCAATGAACATTGTTCGATATTCATTTTCTCGTTTGTTATTGTTCCTATTCATGTTCTAGTTCAATCTGAAAATCGTATAGCGATTTTTTTTTTTGTTATTGTCTTTCCCGTTTCAAACTTTGTTGTAACTTTAAAATAGCATATAGTAAAAAAAAACAATCATATGTAACAGAAAACAAAAATTAACAAAATTTAATGCTTGACATTCCATAAGAGAGATCCAGGAAGAACTACTGATAAATAAAATATTAATCTCTCTAGTATATCTATTTTAAGGTCAGGTACCATGTTCTTGGTGCAGAGTGATTTTGATTACTTCAGTAAACATATAGTAAAAAAGAATGATTGAATCACATAAAACGCTTTGCTTTGTTTTTTTCTTTCATGACAGTATTAAGTGTGAAAAAAGCAGGAGTTCCCCGACTGAGGCCGTGTCCATCTCTAATAAACTCGTTCCATTGAAACACACAGGGAAAATGCCATTTCCAAATTCGTCCCCTTTAGATTTGTTCTTAAATATTCAATTATCAGTTTCATTGTTAAAGTGGATGTGCGGGGATGAATGTGGGTGTATATAGAAGACTTATCATCCCATGCAGTGCCATACCCTGCAATATTTGAATTTCATCTATTATTAAGGAATCATTGGTTTTTTTTTAATGTTATGTTTCTGTGTACTATTGCTCATATTTCTTTTAATAAAGTAAATATCAGATGATGATTTAATTAATAAAATATCTTATTAATATCTCTTCAGAAATTAGTTAGGTAAAAACGTGAGAAGACGAATTTTTACTAATTAAGAATAGTTCCAGTCGAAGATAACGCCATTAAAGAAACAAGAAAGACTTATTTGAGATTAAATCAAGAGGTAAAATTAGATGATCATATAAGAACATTAGATTATCAACAAAGATGATTAGAAGGAAAAGAGAGAGGTAGTTACAGTTAAATACTATTACGAATATATTCTTCATGATCTTGAATATCAAACTTTTTCTTCCTATGTTCATATAATATGAAGATGACATTTTAAAGTTACTATTAAAATCCTATTTGGTAACTTAAACAAAGCGTATCTGTTGTAAAATTCGCATTATTTCACACGGGAGTCTATTCTAGTTTGTCAACATTCATTTAAAGAATGGAAGGATTTTTAAGAGAAAATTATATTTGAAAAAGATAAACGAAAGACGAATGCAGTTTTTAGACGTAAAAAATTATTTTAACAATTCAGACTTGCTGGGGTGCCTGGATATGACGAGGAAAGATAATGATTAGAACTTCTTCGTCGAGTATTTCTTCATTATCTGATAAGTAAAACAGAAGAATAATCGAAAAAGAGATATCAAATGATTCATTACGACAGTTAATATCGAAAGAAAGGTGTTAGAAAATGCATTCTTTCTCATAAATACATACCAAAAAAGTCCAACTTAGTTCATATTTTTGAATTTTTATTGGGTAAATCTAACAGGAATTCTGACTCAATGCAAAATATCAAACTAAGTTACTGCCATTCTTCTTTTGCAATATAGACTTCAGTATTTTCATCCAATAGAAATATGCTTACATACTTATGTCTGTTCTTCGAAAGAGTACGCGATTGCTAACAAGCCATACATTCACTTATTATTCATTTCTTGTGATACTCCTACTCTTATTGATAGATCAATGCTTCCTTTCTTATCTTACTAATTTCGCTTCACTGAGCACACTCCACTTTTTAAAGAAAAGCGAATATACATCTATTATATAAAATTTACTTTATCTATCACAATACCTATAACTAAGTAAAATTCTAATGTTAGACTAGGTATTCACTACAGATTTTCTAGAAAAATATTTCTTCGTAAAGGCTTGTTGTTGACTAAGACTATATTCTCAATTATACTGAAGAGAACTTTGTCACATAGGTCATAAATTTTGTTTGACGTGAATGTTATTTTTTCACCGAGAAAAGTAAAAATAAGTAAATAACGATAAAAGCAAAGAAAAATAAGAGTATTGACACTCTAGAGTCTATTTAAAAAAATAATATTCGAGTAATGAATAATTAACTACAACTACAAAAATCATAAACCGTGACAAGTCAAAATATAACTACCAAACATACTCAAACCTTTTTCTATTTTATTTACATCATAAGGCTGTGATCGACTATTTATTTTTCGATTTTTAAAAAATCATATTCTACGAATATTAAAAATATAAACATCATAATAAAATTTTTATTTCTCAATGAGTATTCGCAATTGATGTTATTTTCTTTCTGTAATAAAAGAAACACTACTTTTATGTATTAATTTCTTAAACCATAGAAATTTTGATACCTACATTCGTCTTTAAATTCTGACGCAAAAAAAAATCATGCTTAAGAAAAAAAAACATCTTTCTTTAACATCACATGCAACTTAATCTTGAATGTTTATATGAAGAATTTTATTCAATTTATCCCATGTATATAGACACATGTCAATTTGATACTGTAGTATTTCGTAGAAAAATATTTACTTAAAACAAAAACAAAAAAAAAGATCTTATTCGAATACTTAAAACACTTTGAAGAAACAACATGATCATAATTTTGCAAACGTCAGATAGTTGTCGTATTTTCAGTTTGCAAATTTTCTTTTGTTGTTGTTGTTGTTAATTCGTTCTTATCTTATATGGAGGTCCTTTTTTAATGTCAATTGTAAAAATGTATATACAGATTGATATAAAAAAGAAAAAGAATAAATCAGAGAAATTCGTCGAAACATTATAATAAAAGACAAAGGAAAAAAAAAATTTGTATGTTTCTATTAGAGTTTCTCTTCAATGAATTAAACAGCATACTTTTGACTTGATGATTTTCAAATTAAACATGAAAGATAATATTAATTACTAGCAAGAGTATCTTGAGATCACCAGGATTGGAAGGAAGTCGATTGAAAGTTGATCAGTATGTATGTCCCATATATTCTATAATTACTTATCTTCTTTTGTTTTTAATAGTTTGTTCTCATCTTGAATTAATCTTGTTTGTTTTATATATTTCATAGACTGGGTCACTGCTATTAAAAATCATGTTCTTACTTTCTAAATTTTTTTTTCGTTTACTGTCGCGATACGTTATGTGACCCGTCAACTATAATCAATATGACTCATGAAAATGTCGTCAAAAAAATTTTGGTTTTTTCCAACTTAAATGAAAAAAATACATTATCTTGATATGCAAACAGAACATGAAAAAAAAAACAACACATTTAACTTTCTGCAAAAATATTTCACTGTATTAGTTGGAAATTTCATTTAAATAAAAACAGGTTTGTTTAAAATCAGTCTAAATTTATCCTTGGAAAATTCCTTGATTTTGTATCTTTTAAATCAAATATATATATATATATATATACAAAAGAAAATTTTCAAAATATAATAAGATATTTGCATTTTATATGAAATACATTTCTTCTTTATAGAAGTTGACTATTGTTTTTTTTTGAAAATATTTTGAAGTCACTACACAACAACAGTATGTACTTAATTTTCGCCGACAATCGATCTCTAAGAAAAATCCAACAAAACACTCGTGTTTTTTTTTTCTTCCAACTAAAAAAAAAAAAGGAGTATATAAAGAATTGTTTGCTTCATCTACATCGTCTGCATTATTTTATTCATTCTTTTTATTTTCTTCTTTTTTGATTTTTAAAAGTAATATATGACATATAGTAAAAAAAAAAACACTACTTGAAATTTTCCGTGAATTTTTTCTATTATAGATTAATTATGTCTACGACAAATGTTTGTTCTTTTTGTGAAGAACGACCTTATGATTTAATATGTACATGTGGTGATAAATTTGATTTTGATTGTATTCATCAACATATAGAATATCTTGGTACTGAAATTGACCATAATTCTCAAGTAACTTCTGATAAATTATATCATCTTAACGCTTTACAAGAGAGCGCGAATGGAAATGAAAATGTTAATACTGCTCAAACAATTATAGATAATTGGGTTTGTATTAATTTTATATTTGAAATTTTTCTTCTTTTCTAAAATTCATAATGAAATTTGAGTATTAAATCTTGAATTCGAAAAACAAAACAAATAAAACGAAGCATGCAAGGAAGAATGTAAAGTTTAGGTCATGTATATTTTTGATCATCAAAACAAAAACAAAACAATTCGTCTAATCATCTACTTTATTATTAGACAATAACAAATAATATAAGAAATAAATATCATACATTTACAAAAATAAATAAGATGAAAAAAAAAAGCTATATCAAAATTGTAGAAACAGAGAAGATGTGGATAGATTAAGAGAAGATCCACACTCTTCTTTATAAATTTTCTTAATTAATTTGATCATTTTGAGTAGATGAGATTATTATTATTATTATTTAACTTTATGTTATCGATCAATCTAGCTTTTGAGATTAGTACATTATTTGCCATAAATGCACTATCTATTACTCATTTTGTATGAATGTGTCTAATGATCGAAAGTATCTTTTTTGTGTTTTTGGTGATCAAAAGATAGTTTTCTCTCAAGTTTATCTAATATTAAAGAAAGAAAGAAAGAAAGAGAATATCTATTTTCTATTGAATTATTTTTATAGAAACGTAAACGTATGCAAGATATCGATGATATAGCAGAAAAAGCTTTAAACGAAGTTGAACAACGAAAAAATACTCTCAAAGATGTTCCATTAATTCAAGAAAATTTCAGTAAAATATGTTCTTCATTACATCAGCCAGCTCATAGTAATTTAAATGCTCTTATTGACCTTCAACATCAAATTCAACATATGATTGAAAATTATGAAAACTTACCAACACTTATTCAAGATGATACTAAT